CCCCACCCCCGCCCTGATAACTCCCCCCCCCCGCCTACCCTGATCACTCCCCGCCCCCACCCTGATCACTCCCCACCCTAACTCCCCCCTCTGCCCCCCCTGATCACTCCCTGCCCCCCCCTAATCACCCCCCTGCCCCCACCCTGATCACTCCCCCTGATCTCTGCCCACCCTGATCACTCCCCGCCCCCACCCTGATCACTCCCCCCTATGCCCACCCTGATCACTCCCCGCTCCCCACCCTGATCACTCCCCGCCCCCCCCACTCCCCGTCCCCCCTGATCACTCCCCCCTCCCCACCCTGATCACTCCCCGCCCCACCCTGATCACCCCCACCCTGATCACTCCCCCCTCTGCCCACCCTGATCACTCCCCGCCCCCACCCTCCCTCGGTAACATGAATGCCAAGCATGAGAAACATTTAAAGGAGGACTCCGGCTCCAGCCAGGAAATATACGAGTCTGCTGAGAGCGGAGTGCCTCCACCACCTGACAATGTGTACACAGCGCCCTCTGCAGGGTGGAAAGGGGGGGGGCTTAGTGAAGTTCAGGGTAACCTTTTTGGGAGGATGGGTGGAGTTCTGTGATGGTGGTGGATGGGCAGAGTCCTGTGGTGAGGGGGATGGGAGGAGTACCTGTGGGGGGATGGGTGTGGCCCTCTGATGGGGGGATGGGAGGAGTCCTGTGGTGGGGGGATGGGCAGAGCCCTGTGGAGGAGGTGCGCAGAGTCCTGTGGTGAAGGTGGTCAAAGGCTTGTGGTGGAGGTGGTCGAAGGCTTGTGGTGGAGGTGGTCGAAGGTCTTGTGGTGGAGGTGGGCGGAGTCTTGTGGTGGAGGTGTGGGCGGAGTCTTGTGGTGGAGGTGGGCGAGTCTTGTGGTGGAGGTGGGTGGAGTCTTGTGGTGGAGGTGGGTGGAGTCTTGTGGTGGAGGTGGGCGGAGTCTTGTGGTGGTGGTGGGCGAAGTCCTGTGGTGGAGGTGGGCGAAGTCCTGTGGTGGAGGTGGGTGGAGTCTTGTGGTGGAGGTGGGTGGAGTCTTGTGGTGGAGGTGGGCGGAGTCTTGTGGTGGAGGTGGGCGAAGTCCTGTGGTGGAGGTGGGCGAAGTCCTGTGGTGGAGGTGGGCGGAGTCTTGTGGTGGAGGTGGGTGGAGTCTTGTGGTGGAGGTGGGCGGAGTCTTGTGGTGGAGGTGGTCGAAGTCTTGAGGTGGAGGTGGGTGGAGTCTTGTGGTGGAGGTGGGTGGAGTCTTGTGGTGGATGTGGGCGGAGTCTTGTGGTGGAGGTGGGCAGAGTCTTGTGGTGGAGTCCTGGGGTGGGTGGAGTCCTGTGATGGAGGTGGGCGGAGTCCTGTGATGGAGGTGGGTGGAGCTATGTGTCAGATGTGGGATGTCGGTGACTCCTCCAATCAGACATCAGGGTTGGATTATCACCATGGTGATGGCGGTGGCCCTGCGTAGGGCGGAGCCCGTGTTGCGCACTCACCTTGCAGTCATAGTTGTCCTTCAGACTGATGGGGACGCCGTAGAGCGCACCTCGGACAGCCTCGCCTTGCAGTCGGCTCAGCTGCTCCTCACACTCAGGTAGGTAGTCGGTGATGCAGTTCACCTGATTGGTCACTTCCAGAGCCTGCGCATAGAAAACATCAATCATTGGCTGCCATCCAATCGCCGCCCTTCACCCCTGACCCCACCTACCAAGTTGGGTCACCTGTCCAATCCCAAAGCTGGAGGCAGGGGAACTGGGACCCGCCCATACAGGGAGGAGTCTGGGGACCCCGGAACGCCTCCATCACTTACCTGCTTTATGTAGGTAGACAGAACCATCTCTGGAGTCACCTCCCCCGACCGCAACTTCTCCAAGAGATCCACCAATGGGAGGTCCAAGATGGCGGCCGGGTCATCTCCAGGGTGCTGGAAGGAGAGAAACCATGAGGGGGAGGGCATTACTGGGGCACCTCCCACTTCCTGTACAGACATGGGGGAGGGTCTGAACACAACTATAAGAGGAGGAGCCAGGATTCCTGGGGGAGGGCATTACTGGGGCACCGCCCACTTCCTGTACAGACATGGGGGAGGGTCTGAACACAACTATAAGAGGAGGAGCCAGGAACCCTGGGGGAGGGCATTACTGGGGCACCGCCCACTTCCTGTACAGCTAAGGGGGAGGGGCCTGAACACAACTACAGGAGGAGGAGGAATCCCCCCACTGACAGCGAAGTGGGGGAGGGGAGACCACCGACTTACCAACTAGTGGGATCAGCGGGAGATCTCCGGATATTACAGGGGACCTCCGGAGAACACAACCACCTGACTCCACCCACAGCTCCTCCCACATATACAGTCCCTCCCACAATACACACCAAGCCCATCCTCCAAATAGAGCTCCTTCCAAATACACACCAACCCCTCCCTCATAAAAAGTCCCTCCCCATATACACAGAGCCCCTCCCACATATCCCACATGGAGGCAGGGCTCTTGTTGGGGAGGGGCTGTATACGGAGGTGGAGCTCGCTATGAAGGAGGGCCTGTATATGGAGGCGGGGCTCTCTATATGTATATGGAGGGAGGGGCTGTATATGGAGGTGGGGCTCTCTCTCTCTGGGGCGGCGCTGTATACGGGCGGGAGGAGGGATTGGGGGGGCAAGGCTCTCTATGAAGGATAAGATGTATACAGCGGCGGGGCTCTCTCTGGGGGCGGGGCTCTCTCTGGGGCGGGGCTCTCTCTCTGGGGCGGGGATCTCTCTGAAGGAGCTGTACGCGGAGGCGGGGCTCTCTCTCTGGGGCGGGGCTCTCTATGAAGGAGCTGTACGCGGAGGCGGGGCTCTCTCTCTGGGGCGGGGCTCTCTATGAAGGAGCTGTACGCGGAGGCGGGGCTCTCTATGAAGGAGCTGTACGCGGACGCGGGGCTCTCTATGAAGGAGCTGTACGCGGACGCGGGGCTCTCTCTGTGGGGCGGGGATCTCTCTGAAGGAGCTGTATGTGGAGGCGGGGCTCTCTCTCTCTGGGGTGGGGATCTCTCTGAAGGAGCTGTACGCGGACGCGGGGCTCTCTCTCTGGGGCGGGGATCTCTCTGAAGGAGCTGTATGTGGAGGCGGGGCTCTCTCTCTCTGGGGTGGGGATCTCTCTGAAGGAGCTGTACACGGGGGGGGCGGGGCTCTCTCTCTGCGGCGGGGCTCTCTATGAAGGAGCTGTACGCGGAGGCGGGGCTCTCTCTCTGCGGCGGGGCTCTCTATGAAGGAGCTGTACGCGGAGGCGGGGCGCTCTCTCTGGGGCGGGGCTCTCTATGAAGGAGCTGTACACGGGGGCGGGGCTCTCTCTCTGGGGGCGGGGCTCTCTCTCTGGGGTGGGGATCTCTATGAAGGAGCTGTACGCGGAGGCGGGGCGCTCTCTCTGGGGCGGGGCTCTCTATGAAGGAGCTGTACACGGGGGCGGGGCGCTCTCTCTGGGGCGGGGCTCTCTATGAAGGAGCTGTACACGGGGGCGGGGCTCTCTCTGGGGGCGGGGCTCTCTCTCTGGGGTGGGGATCTCTCTGAAGGAGCTGTACGCGGACGCGGGGCTCTCTCTCTGGGGCGGGGCTCTCTATGAAGGAGCTGTACACGGGGGGGCGGGGCTCTCTCTCTGGGGCGGGGCTCTCTATGAAGGAGCTGTACACGGGGGCGGGGCGCTCTCTCTGGGGCGGGGCTCTCTATGAAGGAGCTGTACACGGGGGCGGGGCTCTCTCTGGGGGGCGGGGCTCTCTCTCTGGGGTGGGGATCTCTCTGAAGGAGCTGTACGCAGACGCGGGGCTCTCTATGAAGGAGCTGTATGTGGAGGCAGGGCTCTCTCTCTGGGGGCGGGGCTCTCTCTCTGGGGCGGGGCGCTCTCTCTGGGGTGGGGATCTCTCTGAAGGAGCTGTACGCGGAGGCGGGGCTCTCTCTCTGGGGCGGGGCTCTCTATGAAGGAGCTGTACACGGGGGCGGGGCTCTCTCTCTCTGGGGGCGGGGTCCGGGTACCAGTCTATAGATGCGCTCAGCCGTCAGCTCCGTCCTCAGTCGGTGTTTCTCCCGCCTCTGGCGGCTCATCTCTATCCTCTCCCGGATCTTCCTCCTCCTCATCCATCGGGCAGCCAGGAGCACCGCCCCGGCACCTCCGACCACAGCCGGGACCACCCACCGCACATCGTCCGAGCGACACTCCATCACCGACTGCGGGGAGACTGACCTCTGGACGGGGAGGAGCCTGGAGACATCTGCCGAGCTCGCCCCGCCCCTACACACACATGGCCCGCCCTCTGCATGCAGACCCCGCCTCCTCCACACATCGCGGTGGGCGGTTCCCGGGAGATATTTGACTCTCAGTGAGGAGGGGGCGGGGCCCGGGGCCCCGTGGGAGGAGTTATGCCAGTACCCCCGCCCCCAGCAGTGTCCCTGATCGTCATACAGATCCTCTGGATTCACAATACGAACCGGAGTTCGGGGCCACCTCCTCCATAACACATAGAGTGACCCGGGGTCTGAGGCGGATTCATTGCGGGTAAGGTTTTCAGTGAGTTTAATGCCCGCCCTCATCAGCCCCGGAACCCGTAATGTGTGATCGGAAATAAAGGGATGAGGGGGCCACCCGACACCGGAGTACAGGCGGACACCGAGGAGAGAACCGGCTGACAGCTAATCTCCATCCCGCCTGTGACCGGTGTGGGCGGTCTCCGGGAAGATGGTGGGTGAGTGCCCCAGTGTAAGGGAAAATGGCGGAGCGGTCTCCGGGAAGATGGCGGTCTCCGGGAAAATGGCAGGTGGGAGGGGCTGTCTCCGGGAAGGTGGGAGGCGCGGTCTCCGGGAAGGTGGGAGAGGGCGGTCTCCGGGAAGGTGGGAGGGGGCGGTCTCCGGGAAGATGGCAGGTGGGATGGCAGGTGGGGGGGCGGTCTCCGGGAAGATGGCGGGCGAGGCGGTCTCTGGGAATATGGTGGGCGGGGTGATCTCCGGAAAGATGGTGGGCGGGGCGGTCTCCGGGAAGATGGCGGGGGCTGTCTACGGGTAGTGGGCGGTCCCAGCGCGGTGACGTCACTTCCGCGCGGTGTCCTCTCGCTCGTCCTTCGTCACACAGCGGCGGTGAAGATGGTTCTGGAAATGGAGAAAGTTCTGGCCGGAGAGCCCGAGGAGCAGGTGAGGGGGGAGGGGACCCCAATACAGAGAGATGGGGGAGGGGAGCACCCCAATGTCAGCTCACTGACCCCCCAATGTGACGGGGGGGTCACATGTCCTTCATCCCGGGGATGGGGATGCAATGTGTATTCGAAGCGACGTGCAGAGCTCCGCCCCATTTTCTGTCTGGAGGACATCCAGCATCATCCAACACTTTCCTCCCCAGCCCCGCCGCTTTCATTCATTGGACGTCACATCTTTCAGTCATGGAGGCTTGGGGGCACATGTGGGCGTTACCTATGTAAATACAGCCCATATGGGGACGCCCACTCCAAGCTGACCCCACCCATCCAGGCATGCTGATATTTGTATAACTCCTCCCACTGCCTGCATCAGGACTGAGGCCTTTGAGAGGGGCGGGGATGTGGTAAGAAAGCTAAGTACAGCCCCCTCCTGGCCCCTCCCATCAGCCATGATCTGCCTGCAGTGCATAGAGAAGCACAGAGACCTGGTGATGACGTCACTGAGACTGAAATCTGAAACGGAAACTTGTGATGTGACTGACCGCCGGCCACCATGTACTGCAGACGGGCAGGGGGGGGGTATATATATATATAGAGAGAGAGAGGGGGGGGTATAATATATATATATAGAGAGAGGGGGGGTATATATATAGAGAGAGGGGGGGTTATAAATATATATAAGAGAGAAGGGGGGAATATATATATATATAGAGAGAGGGGGGGGTATATATATATAAAGAGAGAGGGGGGGGTATAAAATATAAAAGAGAGAGGGGGGGTATATAAAAAATAAAAAAAAAAAAAAAATAGAGATTATAAAAGAAAAAGGGGGGGTATATATATAAATAAAAAATAAATAAAAATAAAGAATTATATTATATATTTTTAAAAAAAAAAAAAAAAAAAAATAAATAAAATATAAAGAGAGAGGGGGGGGTAATATATATAAGAGAGAGAAAGGGGGGGGTATTAAATATAAAAAGAAGGGGGGGGTAATAAATATATATTAGAGAGAGAGGGGGGGGTAAAAATATATAATAAGATAGGGGGGGGTATATATATATATAGAGAGAAGAAAAAAATATATAAAATAGAAAGAAAATATAAATATATTTTTTTTTTAAAATATATTATATAGAGATTTTTTTTTTTTAAATATATATAAAGAGAGGGGGGGGTATATTTATATATATATATAGAGAGAAGGGGGGTATATATATATAAAAGAGAAAAAATTTTATATTGGGACATGGACACAATTCTAACATTTTTGGCTCTATACACCACAATGGATTTGAAATGAAACTAACAAGATGTGCTTTAACTGCAGACTGTCAGCTTTAATTTGAGGGTATTTACATCCAAATCAGGTGAACGGTGTAGGAATGACAACAGTTTGCATATGTGCCTCCCACTTGTTAAGGGACCAAAAAAGTAATGGGACAATTGGCTTCTCAGCTGTTCCATGGCCAGGTGTGTGTTATTACCCTTTTCATTATCCCAATTACAATGAGCAGATAAAAGGTCCAGAGTTCATTTCAAGTGTGCTATTTGCATTTGGAATCTGTTGCTGTCAACTCTCAAGATGAGACCCAAAGAGCTGTCACTATCAGTGAAGCCATCATTAGGCTGAAAAAAACAAAACAAACCCATCAGAGAGATAGCAAAAACATTAGGCGTGGCCAAAAACAACTGTTTGGAAAATTCTTATAAAAAGGAACGCACCGGTGAGCTCAGCAACACCAAAAGACCCGGAAGACCACGGAAAACAACTGTGGTGGATGAAAAAGAATTCTTTCCCTGGTGAAGAAAAACACCCTTCACAACAGTTGGCCGGATCAAGAACACCCTCCAGGAGGTAGGTGTATGTGTGTCAAAGTCACCAATCAAGAGAAGACTTCACCAGAGTGAATACAGAGGGTTCACCACAAGATGGAAAACCATTGGTGAGCCTCAAACACAGGAAGGCCAGATTAGAGTTTGCCAAACGACATGTAAAAAAGCCTTCACAGTTCTGGAACAACATCCTATGGACAGATGAGACCGACATCAACTTGTACCAGAGTGATGGGAAGAGAAGAGTATGGAGAAGGAACTGCTCATGATCCTCAGCATACCACCTCATCAGTGATCATGGTGGTGGTAGTGTCATGGCGTGGGCATGTATGGCTGCCAATGGAACTGCTTCTCTTGTATTTATTGATGATGTGACGGCTGACAGAAGCAGCCGGATGAATTGTGAAAGTGTTTGGGAATATTATTGGCTCATATTCAGCCAAATGCTTCAAAAAACTCATTGGACGCTTCACAGTGCAGATGGACAATGACCCAAAGCAGACTGCAAAAGCAACCAAAGAAGTGGAATGTTCTGCAATGGCCAATCACCTGACCTGAATCCGATGGAGCATTTCACTTGCTGAAGACAAAACTGAAGGGAAAATGCCCCAAGAACAAGCAGGAACTGAAGACAGTTGCAGTAAAGGCCTGGCAGAGCATCACCAGGGATGACACCCAGCGTCTGGGGATGTCTATGCGTTCCACACTTCAGGCTGTCATTGACTGCAAAGGATTTGTAACCAAGTATTAAAAAGTGAAAGTTTGATTTATGATTATTATTCTGTCCCATTACTTTTGGTCCCTTAAGAAGTGGGAAAAAAACATATGCAAACTGTTGTAATTCCTACACCGTTCACCTGATTTGGATGTAAATACCCTCAAATTAAAGCTGACAGTCTGCAGGTAAAGCACATCTTGTTTCCTTTCATTTCAAATCCATTGTGGTGTATAGAGCCAAAAATGTTAGAATTGTGTTGATGTCCCAATATTTATGGACCCGACTGTATATATATATAGAGAGAGAGAAAGAGAGGAGTATATAAATAAAGAGGAGTATATAGAGGGGGGAGTATATAGAGGGGGAGTATATAGCCGGAAGGTTGGATGACACCCACCAATATCCATCCACTGGGACCGAACACACCGAGCCGCAGAACCAACATCATCAGGAAATCGTTTTTTTCTATCTGTTTTATAAAGTAGAAAATATTGGAGGTTTATACAAAAATAACCCCCCCCCCCATATCCTCAGAGATGACCCCCCCCCCCATATCCTCAGAGATGACCCCCCCCCCCCATATCCTCAGAGATGACACCCCCCCCCCCCATATCCTCAGAGATGACCCCCCCCCCCCCATATTCTCAGAGATGACACCCCCCCCCCATATCCTCAGAGGACCCCCCCCATATCCTCAGAGGACACCCCCCATATCCTCAGAGGACCCCCCCCCCCATATCATTAGAAATTACTTGGTTGGGATGAGTACGGAGTGGCGGCCATTGGTTGGGAGGAGTATGGAGTGGCGGCCATTGGTTGGGAGGAGTACGGAGTGGTGGCCGTTGGTTGGGAGGAGTACGGAGTGGTGGCCGTTGGTTGGGAGGAGTATGGAGTGGCGGCCATTGGTTGGGAGGAGTATGGAGTGGCGGCCATTGGTTGGGAGGAGTATGGAGTGGCGGCCATTGGTTGGGAGGAGTACGGAGTAGTGGCCGTTGGCTGGGAGGAGTACGGAGTAGTGGCCATCGGTTGGGAGGAGTACGGAGTGGTGGCTACTTCTGTGTATTGAAGCTCGGGCTCATATCTCCGGAGAGATTAGATTGGATTGTATTTTAGTGCCTTTATATTGTCGGTCAGCTCATTGCCAATCTGTATGCAATTGCACTGTGTGTGGGCAGATTGTATGCAGATTGTAAAGGTAACAGATCTGCCAGACGGAGATCTCTGTGTGTGTGGGGTGTCTCAGCAGACCGTTCTGCGGATAAACTGTTGGGTGGTGGCAGGCTACTGTTTGTGGTGTGTCTGGTGCAGGGGGTGTGTGGGGGAGGGGTGTGTCTGGTGTGGGGGAGGAGTGTGTCTGGTGTGGGGGGGAGGGGTGTGTCTGGTGTGGGGGAGGGGGGGTGTGTGGGGGAGGGGTGTGTCTGGTGGGGGAGGGGGAGGGGGGTGTGGGTGGGTCTGTGTGGGGTGGGGGGGAGGGGTGTGTCTGGTGTGGGGGAGGGGGGGGTGTGGGGGAGGAGTGTGTCTGGTGTGGGGGGGGAGGGGTGTGTCTGGTGTGGGGGGGAGGGGTGTCTGGTGGGGGAGGGTGTGTCTGGTGGGGAGGGGAGGGGGTGTGTCTGGTGTGGAGGAGGGGGGGTGTCTGTGTGTCCTGGTGCAGGGGGGTGTGGACAGTGGAAGGGTGATAACATCGGGGTTCAAGCTGGAGGGACTCTAGAAGGGTGAGATTACTAAGCTGCTCCTCCCCTCTAATGGTGCACCAGATTGTATGTAAGATTTGTATCTGCAGTGTGTGATCAGCCCTCTGGATTGGAGTGGAGTCTCCCCCGGTGGTGGGCAGAGGTAGTGCAGTGTGTGGTCAGCCCTCTGGATTGTAGTGGAGTCTCCCCCCGGTGGTGGGCAGAGGTAGTGCGGGGTGTGGTCAGCCGTCTGGATTGTAGTGGAGTCTCCCCCCGGTGGTGGGCAGAGGTAGTGCAGCTGTGGAAGGATATCACGGCTGATCTTATATACGGTTTATATATCAGAGTTCAGTCCCCTTTATTCCCTCGTACCCCAAGTCACGGCCGCACCTCGGTTAGCTAGTCGCTGTGGGCGTGGCATGTGGGGGATCTTCCGTGACAACCTGGTCCTCCACTATCTCACGCCCTCACCAGGCACCCTCCTTCCTCCAGGAATAGCCGCAATCCCCTCATTTAATATCACCCCCCCCCCCCCCCCCCCCCCCCCCCCCGTGCTCCCAAACACCGCCCGCCCCTTTCCATGCCGGCTGTCTGTAATAAATCTCACCTTTGTCTCCGACTCCCTGAACCTTCTAACAATTACAGAGACCTGACTCCAAGCAGCAGATTCTGCCTCACCCGGACCCGGCGGTCTCACCCGGACGTCCTCACTCACCCAGACCCGGCGGTCTCACTCACCCAGACATCTCACTCACCCGGACCCGGCGGTCTCACTCACCCAGACATCTCACTCACCCAGACATCTCACTTCACCCGGACACCTCACCCGGACCCAGCGGTCTCACTCACCCAGACATCTCACTCACCCGGACCCGGCGGTCTCACTCACCCGGACCCGGCGGTCTCACTCACCCGGGGACCACCGGACCCGGCAGTCTCACTCACCCAGACATCTCACTCACCCGGACCCGGCGGTCTCCTCACTCACCCAGACATTCTCACTCACCCAGACATCTCACTCACCCAGGACATCTCACTCACTCCCCAGACATCTCACTCACCCAGACATCTCACTCACCCAGACATTCTCACTCACCCGGACCCGGCGGTCTCACTCACCCAGACATCTCACTCACTCACCCGGACGTCTCACCCGGACGTCTCACCCGGACCCGGCGGTCTCACTCACCCAGACATCTCACTCACAACCCGGACGTCTCACCCGGACGTCTCACCCGGACCCGGCGGTCTCACTCACCCAGACATCTCACTCACCCGGACCCGGCGGTCTCACTCACCCGGACCCGGCGGTCTCACTGATCCGGGACCCGGCGGTCTCACTCACCCAGACATCTCACTCACCCGGACCCGGCGGTCTCACTCACCCAGACATCTCACTCACCCGGCGGTCTCACTCACCCGGACCCGGCAGTCTCACTCACCCGGACCCGGCGGTCTCACTCACCCGGACGTCTCACTCACCCGGACCCGGCGGTCGGAAAGGTGGTGGAGTCGGTCTGCTTCTCTCCCCACTGAGCAGCTTCCAATACACAGAAGTCACTTATTAATTTTAAGATTTAATTTCCTGAAAGTGGGCGGAGCATAAAATGTGTACAAATATAACAAGTTCCAGAAATACAAGAAACACACAAATGACTTCACTAGAAAATAAAAGGGAATAAAAGACAGAAATAAAACGTTCCCGAGATCTATCCTGCGACTGGAGGAAGTCAGAGAAAGTCCGCGATTCGCCAGTCAATAGGACCGCCTCCATACGAATCACAACAACGTCCCATGTCAGGGTCCTCAATTTACCCCAAACCTCCCCCAACCCCCACCTCACACATCTCCCCACCTACAATGGTCTGTAGATGATTGGGGGGGTCTTTACCTACAATGGTCTGTACCTACAATGATTGGGGGTGTCTCCACCTACAATGGTCTGTAGATGATTGGGGGGTCTCCACCTACAATGGTCTGTAGATGATTGGGGGGGTCTCCACCTACAATGGTCTGTAGATGATTGGGGGGGGTCTCCACCTACAATGGTCTGTAGATGATTGGGGGGGTGCTCCACCTACAATGGTCTGTAGATGATTGGGGGGGTCTCCACCTACAATGGTCTGTAGATGATTGGGGGGGGTCTCCACCTACAATGGTCTGTAGATGATTGGGGGGGTCTCCACCTACAATGGTCTGTAGATGATTGGGGGGGTCTCCACCTACAATGGTCTGTAGATGATTGGGGGGGTCGTCCACCTACAATGGTCTGTAGATGATTGGGGGGTCTCCACCTACAATGGTCTGTAGATGATTGGGGGGGTCTCCACCTACAATGGTCTGTAGATGATTGGGGGGGTCTCCACCTACAATGGTCTGTAGATGATTGGGGGGGTCTCCACCTACAAATGGTCTGTAGATGATTGGGGGGGTCTCCATCTACAATGGTCTGTAGATTGGGGGGGGTCTCCATCTACAATGGTCTGTAGATGATTGGGGGGTCTCCACCTACAATGGTCTGTAGATGATTGGGGGGGTCTCCACCTACAATGGTCTGTAGATGATTGGGGGGTCTCCACCTACAATGGTCTGTAGATGATTGGGGGGTCTCCACCTACAATGGTCTGTAGATGATTGGGGGTCTCCACCTACAATGGTCTGTAGATGATTGGGGGGTCTCCCACCTACAATGGTCTGTAGATGATTGGGGGGGTCTCCACCTACAATGGTCTGTAGATGATTGGGGGGTCTCCACCTACAATGGTCTGTAGTAGATGATTGGGGGGTCTCCACCTACAATGGTCTGTAGATGATTGGGGGGTCTCCACCTACAATGGTCTGTAGATGATTGGGGGGGTCTCCACCTACAATGGTCTGTAGATGATTGGGGGGGGTCTCCACCTACAATGGTCTGTAGATGATTGGGGGGGTCTCCACCTACAATGGTCTGTAGATTGGGGGGGTCTCCACCTACAATGGTCTGTAGATTGGGGGGTCTCCATCTACAATGGTCTGTAGATGATTGGGGGGGTCTCCACCTACAATGGTCTGTAGATGATTGGGGGGGTCTCCACCTACAATGGTCTGTAGATGATTGGGGGGTCTCCACCTACAATGGTCTGTAGATGATTGGGGGGGTCTCCACCTACAATGGTCTGTAGATGATTGGGGGGGTCTCCACCTACAATGGTCTGTAGATTGGGGGGGTCTCCACCTACAATGGTCTGTAGATGATTGGGGGGGTCTCCACCTACAATGGTCTGTAGATGATTGGGGGGTCTCCACCTACAATGGTCTGTAGATGATTGGGGGGTCTCCACCTACAATGGTCTGTAGATGATTGGGGGGGTCTCCACCTACAATGGTCTGTAGATTGGGGGGGTCTCCATCTTACAATGGTCTGTAGATGATTGGGGGGGTCACCACCTACAATGGTCTGTAGATGATTGGGGGGTCTCCACCTTACAATGGTCTGTAGATGATTGGGGGGGTCTCCACCTACAATGGTCTGTAGATTGGGGGGGTCTCTCCATCTACAATGGTCTGTAGATGATTGGGGGGGTCTCCACCTACAATGGTCTGTAGATGATTGGGGGGGTCTCCACCTACAATGGTCTGTAGATGATTGGGGGGTCTCCACCTACAATGGTCTGTAGATGATTGGGGGGGTCTCCACCTACAATGGTCTGTAGATGATTGGGGGGGGTCTCCACCTACAATGGTCTGTAGATGATTGGGGGGGTCTCCACCTACAATGGTCTGTAGATTGGGGGGGTCTCCATCTACAATGGTCTGTAGATGATTGGGGGGGTCACCACCTACAATGGTCTGTAGATGATTGGGGGGTCTCCACCTACAATGGTCTGTAGATGATTGGGGGGGTCTCCACCTACAATGGTCTGTAGATGATTGGGGGGGGTCTCCACCTACAATGGTCTGTAGATGATTGGGGGGGTCTCCACCTACAATGGTCTGTAGATGATTGGGGGGGTCTCCACCTACAATGGTCTGTAGATTGGGGGGGTCTCCATCTACAATGGTCTGTAGATGATTGGGGGGGTCACCACCTACAATGGTCTGTAGATGATTGGGGGGTCTCCACCTACAATGGTCTGTAGATGATTGGGGGGGTCTCCACCTACAATGGTCTGTAGATGATTGGGGGGGTCCCTCCACCTACAATGGTCTGTAGATTGGGGGGGTCTCCATCTACAATGGTCTGTAGATGATTGGGGGGGGTCTCCACCTACAATGGTCTGTAGAGATGTCTCCTCCTACCAATTGATTGGGGGGGGTCTCCACCTACAATGGTCTGTAGATGATTGGGGGTCTCCACCTACAATGGTCTGTAGATGATTGGGGGGGTCTCCACCTACAATGGTCTGTAGATGATTGGGGGGGGGGGTCTCCACCTACAATGGTCTGTAGATTGGGGGGGTCTCCACCTACAATGGTCTGTAGATGATTGGGGGGTCTCCACCTACAATGGTCTGTAGATGATTGGGGGGTCTCCACCTACAATGGTCTGTAGATGATTGGGGGGTCTCCACCTACAATGGTCTGTAGATGATTGATGATTTGGGGGGGTCTCCACCTACAATGGTCTGTAGATTAGGGGGGGGTCTCCATCTACAATGGTCTGTAGATGATTTGGGGGGTCACCACCTACATGATGGTCTGTAGATGATTGGGGGGGTCTCCACCTACAATGGTCTGTAGATGATTGGGGGGGTCTCCACCTACAATGGTCTGTAGATGATTGGGGGGGTCTCCACTACAATGGTCTGTAGATTGGGGGGGTCTCCATCTACAATGGTCTGTAGATGATTGGGGGGGTCTCCACCTACAATGGTCTGTAGATGATTGGGGGGGTCTCCACCTACAATGGTCTGTAGATGATTGGGGGGGTCTCCACCTACAATGGTCTGTAGATGATTGGGGGGGTCTCCACCTACAATGGTCTGTAGATGATTGGGGGGTCTCCACCTACAATGGTCTGTAGATTGGGGGGGGTCTCCATCTACAATGGTCTGTAGATGATTGGGGGGGTCACCACCTACAAAGGTCTGTATGTAAGATGATTGGGGGGTCTCCACCTACAATGGTCTGTAGATGATTGGGGGGTCTCCACTACAATGGTCTGTAGATGATTGGGGGGGTCTCCACCTACAATGGTCTGTAGATGATTGGGGGGGTCTCCACCTACAATGGTCTGTAGAATTGGGGGGGTCTCCATCTACAATGGTCTGTAGATGATTGGGGGGGGGTCACCACCTACAATGGTCTGTAGATGATTGGGGGGGTCTCCACCTACAATGGTCTGTAGATGATTGGGGGGGTCTCCACCTACAATGGTCTGTAGATGATTGGGGGGGTCTCCACCTACAATGGTCTGTAGATGATTGGGGGGTTCTCCACCTACAAATGGTCTGTAGATTTGGGGGGGGAGGGGGGGAGTTGGGTAGAGCGGTGCTGACATTCTCTTGTATTCTCCCAGCAGGAGGAAGAGGAGGAAGAAGAACTGGTGGTGAGTACCGGGGACACGGGTCACATCTGACCTCCTGCCAACCTCCAGGACTGACCTTCACATGAGGGACTGAAGTATGATGTCACAACCAGGGGGTGGAGAGCCTACTGCTTATAGCCAATGTCCAATGAATGAGAGCTCTTCCCCCGCACAGGCATCCCTCACCTCCCCCACTGATTATGGTTGGGGTTTGGAGGTTTTAGGGCACTGGGGTTGGTGTTGGGGGGGAAGGGTGGTTGTTGGGTTGGTGTTGTTGATGGTGGGGGAGGGGTGCTGGGGGTTTGTTGGTTGTGTGGTGAGGGTGGGGGGGGGGGGGGGGAGGGGGATGGTGTTGGATTACTGGGTTGGTGTTGGTGGTTGTTGCAGGTTGCTTTGGGGGGGATGTTGGTTTGGTTGTCGGGGGGAGGGGGGGGGAGAGCTTCCTGCGTACTCCGCTGGATTGGTGCTCCAGGCGCTGGGCGGTGTCTCCTGTTCCTTGGTGACTGTGGTGTCCCCACCCCCCAGGACCTCTTCCGCTGACGGTGGTGAGGGATAACGCTGCGAGAAGGCGGAGCAATGCGTGAAGGCGCCGGGTGGGAACAGTTGGAGATTTGTGAGACTCGAGTCAACTCCCGATCCCACACCGAGGAGGAATTGTGTGGAGGAATTGTTCGACTTCCTGCATGCCAGGGACCACTGTGTGAGTGAGGGGGAGGGGCCTCTGAGGGGGAGGGGGATAGGCTGGGGTCATTGTAGGGGGTGTGGGACCTCTGAGGGGGCGGCGGAATAGCCGGATCATGTGTGTTTGGGGGAGGGGAATAGCCGGGTCATTGCATGTTAGGGGCAGGGCCTCTATGAAGGGGGAGGGGAATAGTCGGGTCATTGTGTGATTTTGGGGGTGGGGCCTCTATGAGGGGGAGGGGAATAGTCTGGGGTCATTGGTATGTTGGGGGAGGGGGAATAGCCTGGTCATTGGGGCGGGGCCTCTGAAGGGGAGGGGAATAGTCTGGGGTCATTGTGTGTTGGGGGTGGGGCCTCTGAGGGGGTGGGGGAATTTCTGGGGTCGTCGTATGTTGGGGGAGGGGAATAGCTGGGTCATTGTGTGTTAGGGCGGGGCCTCTATGAAGGGTGGAGGGGAATAGTCTGGGGTCAATGTATGTTGGGGGAGGGGGGGGGAATAGCTGGGTCATTGTGTGTTAGGGGCGGGGCCTCTATGAAGGGTGAGGGGAATAGTCTGGGGTCATTGTATGTTGGGGGAGGGGAATAGCTGGGTTCATTGTGCGTGTGGGCGGCGGGGGCCTCTATGAGGGGGAGGGGGGGGAATAGTCAGGTCATTGTGTGTTGGGGGAGGGGCATAGCTCAGGATCTCACCCCTCCTCCCTCTCTCTCTCTCCAGGTCGCTCACAAGCTTTTCAAACATCTGAAGTAGACGCTGTGCGGTTGGTCATGTGGCTCCGCCTTCTCTTTCCGGCTCCTCCCATCCATCCCATGGATTGTGCTGTCCCTGTCCTGCCCCCTGTGGGCGGGGACTCTGGGGTCTATGATTGGTGAACATTGACTGTTCAGATGCTGAGGAGGCTCCGCCCCCCTCTTCAATAAAACCTGTGCTGAGTGTGATTGGTGGAATCTGTCATTTTTTTTTGATGCGTATAGAGGAGGGGCGGGTACAACGGGGGTCACCAAATGGGGGGAGGGGTACTGGAGGTCATAAGGTCAGAGTTCACAGGTAAAGCCAACGGTGGCGTTCTGCACAGAGATCCACCCAACGCCTCCACATCCTCCTACCGGGAACATACCCCGAGCACACGCATGAAGGAGGTGGGGGAAGGCTGCGCATGTCAGGGAGGTGTATAGAGGCCGGGGGCTGACCTCCTCCCCCCCCCCCCCCCGTGTGTACGGAAGGCCCGGGGGCCGACCTCCCCTCCCCCCCCCGTGTGTACGGAGGCCCGGGGGCCGACCTCTCCCTCCCTCCCCCCCGTTGTGTACGGAGGCCCGGGGGCCGACCTCCCCCCCTCCCCCCCCGTGTGTACGGGGGCCGACCTTACCCCCCCCCCCCCCCCCCCCCCCCGTGTGTACGGAGGCCCGGGGGCTGACCCCCCCCCCCCCCCCCCTGTGTGTGCGGAGGCCGACCTCCTCCCCCCGTGTTGTACAGAGGCCCCCCCTCCCTCTATACACTGGGATTGGTGATGACCCTCCAGGTGGTGGCGCTGTGTGTCCCCCTGCAGAGCTGCACTACCTTGACCTGGGCCGTGTGATCACCATCCAGCCAATCAGAGATCTGATGATGTTTGGGTGTCAGCAAATACCGGGCTGTGCAGTCCCAACTCTCCCCGTGTCCCCGGAAGACGCCATATTTCACATGGGAAATGGATTTCCTGTGTCCCTGGCAGATTACGGTAGAACTGACGCTGTCCATGTGGGGAGATGCTGGACTCTGCATACCGTCTCCTGAGAGAACACGTCTCGGCGTCCCTTTAGCCGTGCATTCCCCTCCCTGCCAGGGCTGTAGCCGTTATCTGTGCAATCTGCTGATCAGTGCTCTAGAACAGTGGTTCTTAACCTTGTTGGAGGTACTGAACCCCACCAGTTTCATATGCGCATTCACCGAACCCTTCTTAATTGGAAAAATAAAATATGATTTTTAAAAATTCAAAACATAGGTATACAGTGGGGAAAAAAAGTATGTAGTCACCACCAATTGTACAAGTTCTCCCACTTACAGAGATGAGAGAGGCCTGTAATGGCATCATAGGGAGACCTCAACTATGAGAGACAAAATGAGAAAACAAATCCAGACAATCTCATTGGCTGATCTGGAAAGAATTTATTTGCAAATTATGGTGGAAAATAAGTATTTGGTCTCCTACAAACAAACAAGATTTCTGGGCTCTCACAGACCTGGACCTTCTTCTTTAAGAGGCTCCTCCTCCTGCACTCATTACCTGTATCAATGGCACCTGTTTGAACTTGTTATCAGTATAAAAGACACCTGTCCACAACCTCAAACAGTCACACTCCAAACTCCACTATGGTGAAGACCAAAGAGCTGTCGAAGGACACCAGAAACAAAATTGTAGACCTGCACCAGGCTGGGAAGACTGAATCTGCAATAGGCAAGCAGCTTGGTGTGAACAAATCAACTGTGGGAGCAATAATTAGAAAATGGAAGACATACAAGACCACTGATAATCTCCCTCCATCTGGGGCTCCACGCAAGATCTCACCCCGTGGGGTCAAAATGATCGCAAGAACGGCGAGCAAAAATCCCAGGACCACACGGGGGGGGACCTAGTGAATGACCTGCAGAGAGCTGGGACCAACGTAACAAGGCTACCATCAGTAACACACTATGCCGCCAGGGACTCAGATCCTGCAGTGCCAGACGTGGCCCCCTGCTTAAACCAGTACATGTCCGGGGCCCGTCTGAAGTTTGCTAGAGAGCATTTGGATGATCCAGAAGAGGATTGGGAGAATGTCATACGGTCAGATGAAACCAAAATAGAACTGTTTGGTAGAAACACAACTCGTCGTGTTTGGAGGAGAGAGAATGCTGAGTTGCATCCAAAGAACACCATACCTACTGTGAAGCATGGCGGTGGCAACATCATGCTTTGGGGCTGTTTCTCCGCAAAGGGACCAGGACGACTGATCCATGTACAGGACAGAATAAATGGGGCCATGTATCGTGAGATTGTGAGTGCAAACCTCCTTCCATCAGCAAGGGCATTGAAGATGAAACGTGGCTGGGTCTTCCAACATGACAATGATCCCAAACATACCGCCCGGGCAACGAAGGAGGGGCTTCGTAAGAAGCATTTCAAGAGCCTGGAGTGGCCTAGCCAGTCTCCAGATCTCAACCCCATAGAAAACCTTTGGAGGGAGTTGAAAGTCCGTGTTGCCCAGCGACAGCCCCAAAAACATCACTGCTCTAGAGGAGATCTGCACTGGAGGAGGAGATCTGCATGGAGGATGGGCCAACATACCAGCAACAGTGTGTGCCAACCTTGTGAAGACTTCCAGGAAACGTCTGACCTCTGTCATTGCCAACAAAGGATACATAACAAAGTATTGACATGAACTTTTCATATTCACCAAATACTTATTTTCCACCATAATTTGCAAATCAATTCTTTCCAGATCAGCCAATGAGATTGTCTGGATTTGTTTCCTCATTTTGTCTCTCATAGTTGAGGTCTCCCTATGATGCCAATTACAGGCCTCTCTCATCTTTGTAAGTGGGAGAACTTGTACCATTTGGTGGGGACTGAATACTTTTTTGCCCCCCTGTATGTTTATACATAGGTGCACAAAATGAACAAAACCGTTAAAACATGATTTTCACA